CTGTGGAAAGTGCTCTGGGAGTACTTCTTTGACTTGGAACGAAATAGAGAACGTTGGTTAATTAGTTGTGGGTTTTCTTATTCTTTTTGTCGTGTACAAACGTAATAAATATTTGCTTGCTTCTCTTTAATGTTGATGTCCCTGAGTTGAATTGGTATTGATACAAGAAGTCTCTCCCACTGGACGTCACACCGTACTACATTGGATCACGATCTTTTAGTCACGGTCCATTTTACCCGTGACAATATTGAACAATAAAATGTACTAATGTTATCCAAATTAAACCGAAAGTGATAAATTGAATATTCGAATAAAAGAAGCAACAACGATATTATCATATAGGGAATTAATTTTAGTTATGGAGAGAGTATCGTATGTGCTAATTTTGCTTGCATCCCAAAATTATTTTGTAATGATGTTAGTCAAACAAATTGACTCATAAATTAATATTAATTTGCTATATATTTATTAATTAAAATATATTTTATATAAAACTTCAATTATTAATTCGCTTTTTATAATATTATGCATACTTTATACTAGTTTAAACCCGTTGGTTTAGAGAGGTAGATTAGTTCATGTCACAAAAAATTGGCAGTCCTGTGATATACAAGCCATCAGACTATGTTTCTGTATTCGGGCTATTAATTTTATACGTACAGTACTGATCATTCGTGATCCAAAAAAAGTTCTTATAAAAAAAAAAATTCATAAGAACTTTTTTTTAGATCCCGAATACAGTAATAAGTATAAAATTAACAGCTCGAATAGAGGAATAAAGTCTGAGTGTATATTACGGGGCTGCCAAGTTTTGTGACATGACTAATCAGCCTGGCTAAGGGTGGCTCATTGTTTCGATGCAATAAAATACATTGATTTAAGGATGAGCACATTGGTTTTGCACAATAGGATAATTTCTTTTGTTGGCGAACAAATTTATTTATAGTCGCACAATAAGAAATGATGTTCATTATCCCCTCCCATCTATGTAACTTTTTTCATGTAGTTATTTCTGCTATATTTAATTTTAGGTAATTTAGTATTATCCTATTTAATCTTAAATGTCAAAACAGTGCGTAAAATAAAAGTTTCTCTTTAAAATAAGTACAAGAAAGTTATGTTACATATATGGCATGGGATAAATCAGTTATACTGTATACTGTGTAGTTGGATGTAACTCTTACATAAAAAGGCCAAAAAAATAACAAACAAACAAACAAATAAATAAATAAATAAAACAGCCTATATGTTAAATAATGTTGCTAATGGTGTACTCCAGACTATAACGATAATAAAACATGTAACCCACTTCTGGGTGCACCGGAGTGAGTTATATGTTTTATTATTGACTGGACACTCCATTAACCACTCTAATGTTAAATAAATCAGCCGACATGTTTAGAAAGAATGTTTGGCCGTTATGTTCGAATATCCTTTATTTATTATAACTCTATTATTGATTGATAATCACAACATTTATAAAGAATTAATAATTTACTAAATGAATAATTAGTACTAATATTACAATATTATAACTAATAAAATTCTAAAAGCATGAAGGAATAATTAATGCTAAAAATTGTGAATAGAAACTTAAATATTTTATATAAATATTAAGCAGAGACATTGGCTTTAGGGTCGACATTGGCTTGAGGGTCGACATTTTTCACAACTTCAACCGGGCCAGAGGTAGTAGATTGGACTGTTTCACATATCTTTGTAAGTTTACCAACAATATAACCTGGCAATTCATTAATAGACTATAAATATGATCACAAACAAATTTTAGTATTAAAGTATGTTAGCGGATAATATAAATAGTCATTATATCACTTACTAAGACTTTTTTGGGAGTGCATTCAGTACTCAAAGGTTTGGTTTCGAAAATGTCAATTATCTCTTGAGTAGCTTGTTTTTTGGTCCCTTCAACGTAAGTTAATTCTTGCTTTAATTCAGGTAACACGCATTCAAGTTCTTGTTCATTCAATAGTTTGTCACAGAAATCATCTACAGCATCGGATGATTCACTGACAGTAAAATGCGATAAAAAGGCAATAATGGCAATCAAAGTGATAAAAATTTTTATAAAAGATGCCATAGTTTATTACTTGTAATAGTTTTGTAGTAGCTTTGTTGTAGTTTTGTTGATAATCAGATTGATGAGTTTGATGAAAAACTTCACGTTATGGGGTCTTTATATATTTTCTCGTTGGCATAGCATCAAGCACCCAAAGTATATGATTAAAGCGAATCAATATGCATACAAAGCATTTACAAAGACAATAATTTAATGATTCTTTATTTTCGAACGACACAAATCGAAATTAATTTGTGAACTAAAAAAGTATATTTTTAATAACAGCACTAATGTATGCGCGATGATTTAAGGCTAGATCATGGTAATTAGTTATTGTAAGTCACCTGAATTCGTTTGTTAGTGTAATATCAGGACTGAATCTAATGCGTAATTTCCTAGACAAAGGAACGTTCGTAAAAAAATTATATGCATAAAATTTACGAATAGTAGATTTTAAGGAATACATGTTTGTACAGATTACGTACGTGCGTACATAGATAATTAATTCCTTGTTAACATAATTTAAGTAGTGGCGGCATGCAATAACAATACAATGGCAATGACACTACAATAGCAATTGGACGAACTTTATTTTATTGAATTATCGTTCTGATTAGTTAAAATTAAGCCTATCGATCTCAATTACCTTTGTTCTTTACATTTATAACCTATCAGCTATTAAATAAAGTTTGAAATTTTCGTTTAAAAAGTTAAATTTAAAATAATAAACTCGTATTACATACAGTTATTCTGCTTATTCGAACTAGTTACGTCATAAGCGTAATAGTTTCAACACAAACCTAAATAATTTCGACATGTAATCAGAATTTCTTCTACGTAGTTTTACTTGAACCTCAAATGTAAATACATTCTTACGTACAAAATTTTATTTATACGTAAAAAAAAATTTCCTATTTCAAGTAAAAGCTTAAATGATTGCGTAATGGTACTAACGTACTTTTTTAATGGAAATAAAAGAAACTAATAATTATGCACGGCAACATATGTGCATAAAATTTTTTCCTATTAAGGGAGATAACTATAGCTACGTATACGCGTAGCTGTCATACACACGTACGTACTAAATTACAACATTACGGCATATTTCCTAATTAATTACGGATAAAGTTAAATCTCCGAGATAACTTAATAATGATAATATAATGCTGTATCTCCATAATACATATTAACTTTCTACGTGTGTTTTTGGTTAATAAGTAATTTTAAATTTACTAAGTAAATAATAATAATGATTAAAAAAAGTTCGATCTTATCGCTCCCCGGAAATACAATTTACCGGGTATGTTGTTTCCCAAAGATGACTTTTTTAATTGATATAGTAATCGATATTTGGCACTAAGGCCGTTCTCAAGCGCCTACCTCAATGAGTTAACCGACCGATTTGATTGGCCGAAAAAATTGATCGTGGTCATCATTTCGGTCCAAAAAACCTGGAGCTGCGACCACCAATTTTTTTTCATAGAGCTGCACTGATTGGTTAAAATTTATCATTGACAGAGTAATCAGAGATTGCTCAAGTTCAAATACATTATCATTTTATTGTTATTTTTTTTCATAACATGAATCCTCAACAGGACGTCATGTTACCAAAAATTATTCTACTCTTATAACAAATCAAAGACGTTTATGTTCAAAGAATAAAAAATTGGTTTTTTTATATGTCGTATATATTTTATTAAAATAACGTTTATGCTTCACTATGTTTCGATATCACTTCGTTTAACATTAACGAATCTATATAAAGTTGCGTTGGAGAATATGGTTGTTGCCGTAATGACTGTATAGACAACTATGGCTGTTTGTTGCAATGATAAGTTATTTGTGAAATTGTTAAGAGGGCAAATGCTGGAGGCAAAGTTTCAAACGTCAAAGTCTTGGGTGCTAAATTTTTAGGTAACTGGGTAATCGCCTTTTTTTTTTCTTGGAGTCATTTGGAGTCATTTGGAGTCATAATAGAAATCGATTGAAAGAGATAGCTCAAACATCGATCGCAATCTTTATTTGAATTCATCGTAGTGTTTCGATCACTGGTCAATTACATTGAGGGAGGCGCTTGAAAACGGCCTAAGTAAAAATGTTAAATACCCTAGAAAACCCTATCCTTTGCTTTAATTTAACTTGAAATTTTAAAATTTGTGGTAAATTTTTCTATAGATTATATAATACTAATTAAATATCCGTTTTGTAGTGAATTTCATCTCTGGTTAATGCTAAATAAATTCTTCATTCAAATTATCTCCAGAAATATCAATTCAGATTTCACATTTATAATATAAAATGAGTTGAGCTATTGTTGAGTTATTGTTTGAAGATATTTAATATTTAAGCTAAGAAATTTTTTAATTAAACTCTTCAAAGTTGTGTTTTCTATTACAGAGAACCCTCGTTAATATCAGCCTATTTGGATTGTTTTTATATTTATGTTTATGATATATATGAGGGAATTTTTAATATAATTTTCGTATACAGAATTCATTTTATAGCTAAAGTTGATATTAACGGGGTTGATATTAACGAGGGTTCTTTGCATTTGCATTTTAGTCGTTAACGCTTATGACGAAATCTCTACTGATAGTGACTTCGAACCTAATGTAATTCTATCAGTTTTATCGATGAAAATAATTACAGGGTAATAAGAAAAAAAATTAGACTCGATTTTTTTTTTTTTTTTTTTAGATCGACGATAAACGCATTAATCACGGGACAATTAAATAATAAATAGCTCAACGCTATCGCTATACAACGATAATCTTATTTTATAAAAATTAATCCCGCACTGTAGTTCACGGTCCTCAAACTTGATCGTGAACTAGTTCACGGTCAATATTAAGGTTCCCATAGTTGATCGTGAACTAGTTCACGGATATAGGAGGACTTTCTCATGATTCTATATGATTTAATTTAGATAGAAAATTATAATATATATCTATCGCCATATAAAATTACAATAAATGAAAATTTTTCACGACAGAACTATAATTTCCACAATACATAATACTATAAAGCCATCTTAATAAACCACGAATGAATAAAGTAGAACCTAGTTATTGCTTAAAAAAAAAATAAGAATACTGTAATAGACATAAGTTTTTTTTTATTGCGTCCTTAAATAATATTAAAAAAACAATTCTGGACTTGTTAATTTTCAAGATCCCAAAATATAAAACTACTTAATATACGTTTCTTTATACCTAAGTAAAGCTTCGAATGTCGTAATCTACAGTATTTTAATATTATTGTAAAGTTACTACATATATATTTAATCTTTTTTTTCAAATAGTTACGGTTTTGTAAGTTAATTAGAAGCTTTAATACATATACTGTATTTATAATACATTCCTAATTTTCTAGCTTAAGAACCGTCTCTAAGTGAAGTGTACCTAACGAGAGTGAATCCCAGAGATGCACAAGATACTTAAAGCTTCGTTTATGAAGAGTCTTCTGTAGTATTATAAATGACGATTACTTTTTTTTTTTAAAAAAAAAAATTTACTATGTTAGGGGTAAAAGTACTCTAAACTGTATAAATTCAATTGTATAAAATTGACCAACCACGAGAAAGTTCTCCTATATAGTTCACAGTCCCCAAAGTCAATCGTGAACTAGTTCACGGTTCTCAAAGTCGATTGTGAACTAGTTCACAGTCCCCAAAGTCAATCGTGAACTAGTTCACGGTCAATATTAAGGTTCCCATAGTTGATCATGAACTAGTTCACGGTTCTCAAAGTCAATCATGAACTAGTTCACGGTCCTCAAAGTCGATCGTGAACTAGTTCACGTCCTCAAAGTCGATATAAGTTTTAAAATATGCTATTCAAGTTCATAAATTTACGATTTAATCATTTTATTCGCATTAATTCAGATTACAAATGAAAAAGCATTTAGTCTTCTAAACTTTTCAGATAAACTGTTCAAGTTCATGAATATTTATGATTCAATATAATTATTAATCTAAATTTATCAATTTTTTCCGCTATTCAAGTGCATGAAGATTATTATTCAATATCATTATTAATCTAAATTTATCAAATTTTGCCATTTAATTTCCATTTTATTCGCATTCATTTAGGTGAGCACGAGAACATTTATTAGTTTAAATTCAAATAAGTTAACCAAGTTCATGAACATGCCTATTTTTTATTTGTAGAGAACATTAAGTATTTAGAATGAGCTATTCATGAATACTAGTTAATTTCATTTTATTCGCATTTGGACAGTATGAAAATATTTATTAACATAAGCATTTAAAATAAGTTATTCAAGTTCATGAATATTTATTATTTAATGCATTTTATTCTCTTAATTTAGATTGTAAGTATAAAAAAGCATTTATTAATCAGTGTATTTTTAAGTTTATTTTATTTGCGCCGATTAGTAGCCGTGTCAAGAATGGCTAAGTAGAAATAAAGAAGTCGACGATTGCATTCAGCTATGTATGATGATATGGTTGAGTGAATTCCATTTGATTGACTTGATAATATTTGTGCCTCTTGGTATGATGTCTTCGTTTATTTGCTAATTAAATTATGTAATTTATTACTTACTTTCATTCAAGTTGAACGTTTGTAATTCTTCATGTTATTGCATTATATTAATTTATTTGATTTATAATAGGTCGTGCCTCTGATAATTTGATATTGAAAGAAAAATGTACGGTACTTTATCTGTAACGTTCCATGAGTTTTTAAAATAAGTAGGCATTCAATTAATTCGGTAAATTGTTACTCCATGTTCTTCACAACGTTAATAATTTTTTGGTAGCTTGACCATTAAAATAATCTTTTTGTTCAATGTTGGTTTTAATTACCGATAATTCGCGAGAGATTTTTTAGATTAGAAATCAAAATTTCGGCATTTCTTCAACTTATATTTACTTGGAGTTTCTAATAAAATGTAGGGTTTATTCAGTTATTATGAACATTTTCATAACGAATTTTGGATATAGCAGATTATTAGGCAGTATCATCATAAGTATTGTAATAAGTACCTCTTTTGGTTCATGCCCGGAGGAAACTGCGAGAGAAAACATAACTAATGAAGGTTTTTGAGTATAAAGGTTCGTTTTTAATGGATGCGAGTAATCATGCAAACTTAGCAATAATAGGTATAAGTTATGTTTGATAATCAATTTTAAGAAAGGTAACTTTTTTTGCTTATTTTAATTGTTGATTATACAATACTAAGTTAAAATGTGATTTTCAATTTTAATAAAGGTAATTCATTTCGCTTATCGTTCTGATTGTGTTTTATTTGGGAAATGCATTAAGTTAAAAGGCCAATCTAATTTTTTAACGTTTCTTGAAAGAAAATTGCATACATATGAGAATATAGGCAAACGACAGGTGCAATAATAAGCAAAGGTAAAAATCAGATGTTTAGACGCAAAAATTGGCAACTCGATGTAAACTATTATGAATAGCTGAATAACACTAATTTATATTTCAATTAGAGCTTCGATTCTATTCTTCAAGAGCTACCGTAAATGGCCAGATAAAAGACCAGGATCTCTTAAATTCCACCGATTTTGAAATTTATCATAGACTCGGGTATAGTACATGGTTAAGAGTTTATATCGTTAGAGAATTTAAGAGCATGCGTATTTTTCATTTTTAATGGACAGTTTTGATATTTGAAAAAAAAAATTAATTTTATTAATGCAGATTCCATATCCGCATCCGGGTAAAGTACATAGTGGATCTGATGTGGGGGAACTTTTACCCGGCCATTTACGGTATTTGGATTAAATTTGAATGTTCCTTATTGTATTCGGATAGCAATCCAGATTCATTTAAACAATGGTAACTATACCATGGTTTTTTTCAATGAAATTTCTCTGGCGAAATGTTATGTTCTCAAGAAGTACTGTTACTTGATTCTAAAATAAGAAAAGCAATGACCGCTATTCTTCATAAAATACTACTCAGACTTATCTGGATGTTTTACCTTGATTTAGAAGAGAAAACGCTAGCAAAGATTGTTCACGACCCAGTTAATTGACACAAATCAACCAATCATACGAAATTTTCCTAGAATTATGACTCACAGATATATCCTCGAAAAATTAACAGAGGATTTAATGTTACTAAAAAAAAAATTTTAATTCAATTCAATTTTGTTTTAAGCTTGGGTTGCATTTTTTTTATAAAATTTTATCACATTTATTTAACGTTTAATAAATTATACTAGGAAATGGAAGCAATTACTCTTCGCAATGTCATTAGAACAACTAGAAACAAACTATTTTGAAGTGTATTATAATAAAGTTATTACCATGGTTTAATTCTAGGATTTAGCTTAGGCGTTACTATAAGTTTTTAATCATAAGTAATTTAACAGTTTTAGGATATAATCGTTCAAATATTACGTTCAATCATTTAAGTAGATATTATTTCTTAATTTTTATATCAAGTTTAAATATTCTATTATACAGAAACTTAATTTTTTTAATAAATTAAAAAGAATGAAAATAGACCCTTTATTTAAAATCTGGTGATGCGAAATGTTCTTTGTACAGCAGCCTACCTTGGCGAATTGATTATTATTATTTTGCTACTTATTTTATTTTTTATTTATTTTTATTTTATTTATTTTTATTTATTTATTTAAGAAAATAATAAATATATTACGATCATAATATTATAAGCAGTTTTTCCTAAGACGGTCTGTTTTATTCCGCAAACATTGAATCATATTTGCGATTTAGGGATCAAATATAGTATAGCGGACACCATCGGCAAAATTTCCGAAAAGCCACATCATGTGATCACATGATGTATATTAGTGGCTTGGTTTTCGTGCAATCGCAAATGAGCCACAGTAGCCACTTCGCGTGATCACGAGACCGGATCGAATGGCTTCATTAATGTGGCTTATTTGCGATTACATGAAAAATCAAGCCACTAATATACATCATGTGATAACATGATGTGGCTTTTCGGAAATTTTGCTGACGGTGTCCGCTATATATATTTGATCCGCGATTTAGTACTGTATTTTCTAAATATTGCAATGATTTATTTATTTGATATTTTTAAAGATTTGTTTTTTCTTTATTCTAAATATGGATTTAATTGGTACGTACGTACGTACGTACGTACATAAGTGAAAAAAAATAATATGTCTCTTTTACATCGGATTGGATGATCTATCCTCGTGACTTAAGCTGGTGATTTTATGATTTACTGTACAGTATACATTGAAATGTAGATACTGTTGATAATGCAATAAAAATGCGTTTGAACGTTGTGTGATAAAAACTTACTATTTATGATATATGTTGCTTATATCCTGGCTATACGTGCATAAAAAGTTGTATCACACGGCAAAAAAAATATTGGTACACTTGCATTTAATGATTTACGTACGTAAATCGGCTTTTTGAATTAAAATGACAAATGATCTAAAACAGACCGACAGTTCATCAGATATTAACCAATTCTATTTAAAAGAGAATAATACATTGAATATTTTTAGTGAAATTGTTAAAGAATTATATAATTTAGATAATGAAGAAAGATTGAAAGGCACAAGTTTAGAACAAAGATTTAACATATTGGAACAATTTTTAGCAAAAAAAAACCAAAATCCAGATAATGTAATTAAATGGTGCCTAGAAAATCAAATAAATCCTATAACGCAAATAATTCTTGGACATTGTTATCGGTATGGTAAATGGATTGAAAAGGACGAACGTAATGCATTCATTTATTATCAAAAATCTGTAGAGATGGGGCATGCTGATGGAGTATTTGGTGTTGGATCTTGTTATCTTTATGGAATTGGAGTTGAAAAGGATGAGCATAAGGCATTCATTTATTATCAAAAATCTGCAGAGATGGGGCATGCGGGTGGAACGTATAATGTTGGATATTGTTATCAACATGGAGAAGGGGTTGAAAAGGATGAACTTCAGGCATTCATTTATTATCAAAAATCGGCAGAGATGGGTGACTCAGATGGAACGTGTAGTGTCGGATATTGTTATCTTTATGGAATTGGAGTTGAAAAGAATGAACTTCAGGCATTCACTTATTATCAAAAATCTGCAGAGATGGGTAACTCTAATGCGATATGTAATGTTGGATATTGTTACGATAAAGGAATTGGAGTTGAAAAGGATGAACGTAAGGCATTCATTTATTATCAAAAATCTGCAGAAATGGGGGATGCTAGTGGAACGTATTATGTTGGATATTGTTATTTTAGTGGAATTGGAGTTGAAAAGGATAAACTTCAGGCATTCATTTATTTAAAAAAATCTGCTGAGATGGGGCATGCTAGTGGAACGTATAATGTTGGATGCTTTTATCTTAATGGAATTGGGGTTGAAAAGGATGAACGTAAGGCATTCGTTTATTATCAAAAATCTGCAGAGATGGGGCATGCTGATGGAACGTATAATGTTGGAGATTGTTATCTTAAAGGAATTGGAGTAGAAAAGGATGAACTTCAGGCATTCATTTATTACCACAAATCAGCAGAGATGGGGCATGCTAGTGGAACGTATAATGTTGGCTATTGTTACGATGAAGGAATTGGAGTTGAAAAGAATAAACGTAAGGCATTCATTTATTATCAAAGATCTGCAGAGATGGGAGATGCGGGTGGAACGTATAATGTTGGATGTTGTTATCAACATGGAGAAGGAGTTGAAAAGAATGAGCATAAGGCATTCATTTATTATCAAAAATCAGCAGAGATGGGGCATGCTGGTGGAACGTATAATGTTGGATATTGTTATCAACATGGAGAAGGGGTTGAAAAGGATGAACTTCAGGCATTCATTTATTATCAAAAATCGGCAGAGATGGGTGACTCAGATGGAACGTGTAGTGTCGGATATTGTTATCGAAATGGAATTGGAGTTGAAAAGGATGAACATAAGGCATTCCTTTATTATCAAAAATCAGCAGAGATGGGTAACTCTAATGCGATACATAATGTTGGAAATTGTTATCGAAATGGAATTGGAGTTTCCAAGGATGAACTTCAGGCATTCATTTATTATCAAAAATCTGCTGAGATGGGTGACTCAGATGGAACGTATAATGTTGGAAATTGTTATCGAATTGGAATTGGAGTTTCCAAGGATGAACTTCAGGCATTCATTTATTATCAAAAATCAGCAGAGATGGGTAATGCTGCTGGCATGTCAATGGTTGCTATGTGTTATCGAAATGGAATTGGAACAACAAGAGATTTAGACTCGGCCAAATACTGGTATCAAAGGTAAACATTTAGTTTAATTTATTCAGACGCATCATAATCAAATCACGAATCAGCAAATCATAAGGTCAGATGTAATTGAGTTGGTCAATGTTAGAATGATAATTAAACTGACTCATTAACTGACTCATGAGCAATTACATCTGATTTATCACACTAAATTATATTATTTATAAGATATTGATGTTATTATTGTTTATTTTATATTAGCATGTGAAATTTTTTGTGTATTTTGCATAAATGATGTCATTTTATGAAGGCAAAAAATTTTACAAGATCATATCACATAAACAATAAATATTATCTATCGTACGGCTACGTTGTTACTATTGTTCATATTCGTACGCTTTTCATGTTATATTCTTATTGGTATTCATATTGGTATTATAGCTTTTTTCTAAAATCAATAATAACATAAATAACTGATAACAATAATTGATAACACTAAAAAATTTTACATGTAAAAAACTGCTTAAAGATGACAAAACGTTGATTTGGAGTACGTTATTTATTTAATAGATCAAATGCATATGATAGTAACAACTGCCGAACGATAATAACGTTATCGTATGAAGGAAAAAATCGACACGATAGTACGATAATTTATATGATAATTTATACAATAACTTATAATTAATTTAATAAATTCATATATTTAAATTGCCAATTAGGGAGAAAGAATTAACGTTAGGTATTATTATAATTTATTATAAACTATATTGTTATCTATTTCTTTAGAATTTAAAATTGATAAATTTATTATTAGCTACAAATGAATGGATGCATAATTCTGAAATTGATGATGATTTGAAAAATTTATTGATCGAAAATG